AATTGTTTTATATAATAACAATAATMATTTATATTTATATAATACTTTTAATATTTTTTAAAATACAAAAATAATAATAATAATAATTAATTTTAGATAGGGTTTTTATTAAACTTAGGGATGGAAATTTTTCCCATTCCACCTATTTTTATGGGGATTTTCCCTGAATGGGGCAGGGATGGGGAGAGCACTCCCTACCCCACATGGGCCTCGATCCCCACCCCACGGGATCCCCGCTAATATATATGTATATATACGCATACACTTATATATGTATATATGTACACATACGTCTATATGTTAAAATTTTTAAAAATATGGTTGAATATGTTTGAATCTTTTCTAATAGGATTGTAAATTTTAATTATTTTATTTTTTTAAATAAAATAAAAAATAAAAACATAATAGTTGACATTATAAAGAATCACGGGGAGTGGGGATTCTCGTGGAGACGAGGATGGGAACGGGGACATGGATGGGGATTTTTGTGGGAGATTGTTTCTATTTCGATTCAAACTAATGAAACTAACCAACCCAATTTCTAGTATTTCCAGTTGGCTTTGGTTCAACAATTTCCCAACCCAACTGGGTTGGATTAGTTTTGCTTTGGCCATTTATAAACTGACTAAAATTGAGCAATACATATATATATATATATATATCACAAATTTAATTTTGAAATTTATTTTTTTAATAATTCCATTGTAATTTTTTAAAATTTAAACTTAATTTTTAAATTAAAATTTTTAAGTTTAAATCTCTTGAACCGACTAACCAAACTGAAAATTGACCCAAACCAAATAACCTAAGTGACCAACCCCCCAACTTGACCAAGTCGATTTGACTGGCCAAACAACCTACAACTGAACTGAACCAACTTGTGAACTATAGTTTAATATCGAATAAATATTAAAAATTTATAGCACAGATACACAATAAATTAAATATAAAATCTAAATAATAGTAGTTTAATCTCCAATAATTATTGAAAATTTTCTATTGAATAACAAAACAAAAATAGATTTATACATAATTATTGAAAATATATTTATCACAAAAAACAATAAATAATTATAGAAATAAAATAGATATTAATTTTAGCATAGATAAATATATAATAAATAAAGATTAAGTTTTTAAAATTATTATTAATAAACAATAACTTTTTTGAAAGTTATTCTAGAATTATTACTTGGTATAAATGAAATTAGTTATTTACAATATTATTTATTTATTTAAATAATATCATTACTTAAATTTTAAAATATTAATTACTTGTTGAATTAATTTCATCATAAGTATCCCCCATTTAACCTTTATCACACTATGATTTTAATTTCGGCTATCTCATTGGACAAGATATTCAATTCTTAAATGCCCCTGATCATACCATTTATGGACCAATCAAACCCCACCAAATGATCTAAGAGACCAATACCTTTAGAAATCCCATTTGTTAACACCTGATTTTTGCTCAATTCATCGTCGAAACCCCAATTTACCTCGAACACCTTATTAAACCATTATGATCCTTCTGAAGTACCTAAAAATCCCCGTACACCATCATTAGACCTAGGACCTCCTAAAATATCTACCCCTGAAGCTTTAACCCAAGATTCCCCTTCATTTATTCTTTTACTAAACCAAGATTCCCTTTCGAACCCTCTCGTTAGCCTGAAGCACCAACAACCCAAATCTCCTTGATCCTAACACCTCTAAATCATTTAGACCATACAATTGAACCCTAGACACACCAAAAACATTTACCCATACTTTTTTCAACCTAAAATTATCTCATTTGCCCCATCATCGAACAAATATTCCATTTCAGATGCTCTCGTTGACCCAAATTTTCGTGATTTTGTCCCTCCAAAATCAATAAGATGTTTCCATAAGACCCTAGACACCCTTAAAAACCTACCCACAAAAATTCAGACCAAAATACCTTTCTTTTCCCCTTCATTACACCAAGAATAATTCCATTTCAAAGCTTTGTATTGACTAGATCAAGTCCTTTCCAAATCTTCCCGATCTTGGCATAATTGGGCCAATCTAACCCTACCWATCAACCCATAATGCTCAAAAACACCACCCTTCCAAATTTCAACAAAAAATCCTTCATTTTTTCCTCCATCACACCAAAATTCTGTTTCAAACTTAATAAATTAACTGAATCACTACCCCTCTAGATCTGCCCAATCCAAGCCTATTTAGGCCAATTTGATTCAAAATGCATAAAAACCCCACCCTATAAACTTTCAATCAAAAACACCCTTGTTTGCCCTTCATATAAAAAGATTCCATTTTGGACAATCTCATTGGCCCATATATGCAAAACCATGGTATATACTCAAATCCATCTCCACCCTTCATTTTTAACCCAAAATACCCACCATTAGATTAGAATTTTGTTTTGGCCTTCTTAGACCCAAATTGACTAAAATACCCCCTAAACGTACCAAAATACATAAATTAAATAAATACCATAATTAATTACGGTATTTTTTAATGATACTTTTGTTATTAATTATGGTATTTAATTAATTAATAAATAGTATTTATAAAAATACTATTAATTAATTAACAATATTTTGATATAATTAATTAGTAATTCATTAATTAACAATATTTTTATTAATTATTGTATTTATTTAATGATTTAACAATATCATATGTGTTTTGTGTAACAAAATTTTTTATTAGTTATGGTATTTAATTAAATAAATACCATAGTTAATTAATAAATACTATTAAATAGTGTATTGCTAATACTGCTAATTAATTAAATAAAGTAAATAGTTAAAGAAATATCATAAAATAATGTTAATTAATACTAATAATTAATTAAATAAGTTAAGTAATTCATTATGAGAGAGGGAGAAGAGAGTGATGTTGTGGCTTCATAAGAGAGCAAAAAGGCTAAAATGAAGAGTGTCTGAGAGTTCTAGATTGGAGTAAGGGAGAAAGCTCAAGCCATGATGTGGCATGTTTCTACTTTAGTATATATACTAGCAGGGCCCATGCAATGCATGGGATGTGGCACTCCTCCTTGTACCCTACTCCCATATCCAAGACACTCTACTGCTTCCCCACCTCGTCCTCAGTGGTGGGGCGGGTTCAAGGTGAGACACCCATTCCCAATCAGGGATGGAGAATCTCTAAATTTTCCCTACCCCAAGGCAACCACCTAAAAATAATTTAATTTGCAGATATTTTACAAATAGGATTATGGGAATTTGGGGGGGTACTTTAGGAATTGGATTATGACAATTTGGGGGTATTTTATAAATGGAATTATGGGATATTAGGATTATAAGGGCTTGGGTTGAGTCGTGATAAAATTTGGATGCTGAGTTGGCCCTGTTTTCTTGTTTTCCTTTCTAAGTTATTGGGGAAAAAGGGGAGAATACCACACAGACATGGCAACTCCTAATGCTTCTAGAGGGAATCTTGCACCCTCTTTACAACTTCTAGGTCTTATATGGCAAGCTCTTCATTAGTGTATATATATATATATATATATATATATATATANATTGATTTATACATAAATATTGAAAATATATTTATCACAAAAATACAACAAATAATTACAAAAAATACAATAAATATAAATTTTAGTATATATAAATATATAATATATATAGATTAAGATTTTAAAATTATTATTAATAAATATCAATTTTCTGAAAGTTATTTTCTAGAATTATTAGTTGATATAAGTTAAATAATGTTTTTATTATTAGAACATTAAAAATTGCAATTATTATTCTATTTTTTAGTATCTATTAATTTTTTTAAAAAAGTTATTACCTAATTTTGTTATTTGAAAGCTTCAATACCTCTAAATTAATGTATATTAGTAATAATTTCACAATAATAGTGTATATGCATTATATATTAATATATGCTAAAATTAGTATTTATTGTATTTTTTGATAAATATGTTTTCAATAATTATTTATAAATCTATTTTTGTTTTTTATTTAATAGAAAATTATCAATAACTATTAGAGACTAAACAACTATTAATTAACTTTTGAAATTTAATTTATTGTATTTTTGTTATAAATTTATCTTTAGTAATTATTTATTTCTTATAATTTAATAATTTATTGATTAATATTTATTATAAACCATTATTTGAGATTACACTATTTATTGACTAATTTAATATATTTTCAATATTTATTGTATTTTTATTAGATATCTATCGTATTTTCATTATAAATTTATTTTTTATAATTGTATATTTTTGTATAAATTTTCAATAATTATTGGATATTAAACTATTGTTATTTATTAGAGATTAGATTATTTTTTTTATGAATATTAGAGATTAGATTATTAATTTAGCTAAAATTAGGAATGTTCAAAGATAAGTTCAACTCACTTGCAAGTTGTTTCGCCAACCAAGTCGACTTGGTCAGGTTGGGCGTTTGTCACTTGAAAATCGATTGATCATTAATGAAAACCCATCAACTTGGGTTATATCGATTTGGGTATATTTTTGGTTTGGTTTGGTTTGTTTGTTCAAAAGAGTTAACTTTAATAATTAAATTTATATTTATAAAGTTAAAGTTATATTATTAAAAAATAAATTAAAAAATTAAATTTATGATATAAAAGATTTTAGATTAAAAAATATGAAAACTTTCAGCTTTCCTATATTAAAAATTTATATTTAAAATATAAAATATTAATATATATCTATGATGGAGTCGATTCAATGTTGGTCAAATGAAACTTRCATAATTAATCGAGTTGGAAATTACTGAACCAAAGTCAATTAAAAATACTAGAAAATTAACTAAATAGATCGAATTTAATTCGATTGATTATTAAAATATTAAAATATAAAAATAATTATATATGCTTAGATATTTCTATTGTTTAGCCCGTACATCGCACGGATCGCTAATCCCCGCTAATAAATTAAGGGATTATAGCTGATAAGGGATTAATAAAACATTGCGATCCATTCAATATTACAAAGAAGATAAACGTACAAAATGCACTTATTTTGTGATTAACAGATTCATTGGAAAGTACAGCTTACAAAGTGAAGACACGGTATCGGAAAGCACACCGGGAAATTCTAGCTTAAGGAGACGGGAGCCCACCGAAAAATTCTCATTCCTCACCGTTTACACTGGAGAGACTATTTACAGTTTGGGAGTGGCTGACCGCACAAGCACCGATTATGGAAGAACGAATCATAACCGAACCGATTCATGTTCCCACCAACCGGAATCTGTCCGCACAGTCGATTGTAACTCACATTAAGCCCCTGCAGCAGCTCCAATCCCGTGATCTCTTCGGGTATACTCCCTCTGATAATGTTGTGCGACAATTCCAAATCAATCAATGTTTTGGGGAATTTCACTCCCGAGAGGTCGAAGTCGAACTGGTTTCTTGACAAATCGATCGTCTGCGTCGTACCGTTCGGGTTGAACAACACCGATGCGTCCCCCACGAGCTTGTTCCTCGAGACGTCAACGGTAATCAAGTTCACCTCTCCCAACGATTTGGGGATCACGCCAGAGAGCTGATTGTGAGATAGATAGAGGTAGAAACCCGAATATAAACTCTTTTGAGTATCGACTTTAAATCTCCCGAATGAATCGGGTATGGCTCCAGTGAGTCTGTTTCGGTCGAGGTGAAGAGCTGCCAGTTTTGAGAGATCGGCGAGGGAAGCTGGGATTTGACCGGAGAACCGGTTGAAAGCAAGATCGAGATACTCGAGGTTCTTGAGTTGGCCCAGGAACCCAGGGATTGGACCGGAGAGGTTGTTCCAACTTAGACGGAGCATCTTCAGGTTCTGGAGTTTGGTGATGGATGACGGGATGGAACCATAGAGGTTGGGGAGCTTACGGAAAACAACGGTGTCGAGGTAGGGGAGGTCACCGACGGCGGCAGGGATTTGGCCTGAGAGGTTGCTTTGAAAGATGGTGAACTGGGTAATGCGGTTGGTGTTGTCATCGCACTCGACGCAGTACCAGTTGCAGCAGTCGGTGTTGGGAATCCAGGAGGCAAGGTGATAGGGATTGTTGAGGGATTTCTTGATTCTCATGAGGGTCTTGTAGTCTTCAGGGTTGCAACGAACGGAAGCAGAGAGAATGGGTGATGGGAGAGAAGATAAGAGGAAGAGGACACAGAGAAGCAGTGGAGAGAGTGAAACGAGAGAGCCCATGATGGAATACTTGGTGGAACTCCTTTTGTCTCTTTAGACAATAAAACAGAGACGTGGTGATGAGTCCTATTTATAGAATGATGGAAGCTTGCCGCGTTACGACTTCCCGATCTCCAGTTTGATCAGTCGGTGGAGAGAGATTCATTATTGTCGATTTGTTATTATTAATTTGCTTATCCATTTGACTAATATCTCTTTCTCTCCGGTTAACACCTCCACCACAAGAAGCTCCCTCGAACCAAAACAGTTTTCAACTGTTGTACCAAGAATTTGAAACCACGCTAGCAGCTAGTCTCAGAAGACCCGCTACTTGAAAAATATCCTGAAGGCTCAGTTTGGATGAAGTACAAATATTTACATTTTGTATTAATTTGTATGTATTTATACTGTACATATTTGTATTTATATTTATATTTATACTTTTTCGAAACTGAACCTAAACAAAATCCAAGGAAATTGAATAATTAGAAAGATGCAAATTCGGTCAATTTCAATTTTTTAATTTTACGGTCTTACGGGTTCAGACAGTTGACTAAAGAAAGTAAGTCAATCTAGTGGTGCTATTTGTCAAATAAGACAAATAAACAATTGGGTCATTTACCTAGATACCTTCTATTAGTTTAAGTATTTCTTTATTCTGAATCATTGCGATACACGAACTTGTTAGGAAGAATTGAAGTAGAAAGAGGCTTTTGACTAGAGGTAATCATGGGCCGTTAGGCTCGGGCCCAGATTGGTCCGGGTTCTGGGCCTGAAACATAACCCCTACCTTAGGTTTATACGGGCCCGGGCCAGGATAGGCTTGATTTCGAGCTAATGTCACTCATATATAAAATATTATATATCTATATATTAAATGACATTACATGCACATAAACTTATTTTATACATTATATAATATAAAATATTACATATAATATAAATTATACATGTCATGTTATAATATTTATATATAAAAATATAATATAATGTAAAATAACATGTTACATATGTATACATTATACACAAAATGTGTATGTTTAAATATATGTGGGCCGAGCCGGGCTTGAAGTATTAAGCCCAAGCCCGGCCCTAAAATTTGTGGGCCTGATGTGGGCTCGGGCCAGGGCCAGGCCTGAACACAAAACCCAGGCCCAACCCGGAATTTCTAGGCCAAGTCGGGCTAAAATGATCACCCCTACTTTTGACATTTTTAATTTAGACAAGTCAATCCAATCCGGCTCAAATAAATATATGTTTGAGTTAAAGATCAAATTATCGGTATTGGGTATCGTATTGGATAAGTTGAATACGGATACAGATATGCTTTGGAAATGCATGGATACGAACAAAAGATATAGAAACAATTGGATACTCTAGTGAAACGCATACAAATCACATAAATACATTAATCATGCTAAACAAAAAGCTGAATTAACTATGAATAAGATATAAACACATGAGAAATGCATACTTCAATAGGTTATATGAAGAGAAATATTACAATAAACAATACCGAGACCTTAGAGCATTCAAACATTGTACAATAATTATCACTCTTTTAATTTTATAATTATAATTTTCAATTTTTATTAATTTTTGGGAATATTTATTAATTTATTAATTTATTTAAATAACAATTATTTTTAAATAATAAATATGTTTTCATTTTTTGGGAAATTTTATTTATTTAGTATTTTTATATAATAATTCTATTTTTTCAAATAATAACTATGTTTTCATTTTTAACATATAATTATGTTTAAGATAAAATATATAAATCATCTAAGGTAGATGAAATATATTATTTTTATAATTTTTAGTTTTTATTATTTTTTAGAAAAATTAAATCTTAAATTATTTATTTCAGTTTTCATAATACTATGTTTTAACTTGTATTAAAAATGAAAAACAATCCAAAAGTACTCAATGCACAATTTTGTCAAACTAGACACGAATACACCTCTATATCGGTGAGTATTAGACTATTCCACCAATATGGTGCGATACAGACCAATATGGAGGCGTATCATATCGATACGCATGACTCATAGGATATGTATCCAATCGTAGCATATCCTGTATCCATGATCATGGATATGTATACGGTATTCCCCGTATCGGGAGTATCGTATCGATACATTAATCCTTGGTTTGAGTTATGTTTAATTGTTCTGATGAGAATCCGAATTGAAACCCTATTAGTGGGAGTGGTTAATCTTGTATAATGATGTCAATAGATGAAGTTTAGGCCCCATTTGTTTTTTTAGTAAGTTATTTACCCGGGTAAATGCAGTTAATTGAGTAAGTTTTTTCTATGAAACATTTACCCTGATAAGTACATTTACTTATGTTCTTTTATTTCTCATGTAAATAAGGCAATGATCATTTTAGTCTTAAAAAATCATTATTGAAAATGATATTTTTGTCCCATTCAAGTGTTGGCAACTTCCCCCTAGGTGGGAAAGTTATTTACCCACCTAGGAGATGGGTGTAAGTGATACCCAAGAAAATAAACTTTCCCTGGTCCCCACATAAATCTGAAAAAAGAACATGAGATTCTTGTTCAATGGGGACCAAAATCCCATTGACCAACTTTTCCCCCTCTCAAAATCCAAAAAAAAAAAAAAATGAAAAAGACTCCGCCTTAATGGTAAATTCCACTTGATTCACCCCTACATAGTTAGGTTAGGTTAAGGTTAGGCTTATATGAGTGTAGGGTTAGATTAGAGTTTTGATTATTCCACCCAACCCCAGTGTAGGTTTGTTTAACCTAAGGCATTAGGTCATAATACTCTTACACATATATAGGGGTGTCAATCAATTAGTTGTGGATTGGATTTAATTCGATCCAAACCTTATCAAATTCGATTTGGATGATCCATTATAATTATTGGATTGGGATAATCCAAAATAAATTGGTCCATATTCTTATTGGTCTAAATTGGACCTAAACCAAATTTCCAATAATCCGATCATGAGGCCAAACCCTTGTCCAATTTGAAACCGAATTGAAGCCGACATAAAATCACTTTTATGAAAAAACTTTTTTAAAAGTAATTTTATGAAAAGTACTTTTACAAAGGTACTTTTATGAAAGTACTTTTATAGAAGCAGTTTTAAAAAAGCACTTTTGCGAAACCACTTTAATAAAAGCACTTTTACAAAAGTACTTTTATGAAAGCATTTTTATAAAAGTACTTTTACAAAAGTACTTTTATGAAAGCACTTTTGTGAAATCACTTTTACAAAATAACTTTTACTGAAGTACTTTTATAAAAGTACCTTTATGGAAGTACTTTTACAAAAGCACTTTTATGGAAGTACCTTTATAATAAAAGCACTTTTATGAAAGAACTTTTATGAAAGCACTTTTATGAAAGTACTTTTGTAAAAGCACTTCTATGAAAATACTTTTACGAAAGCATTTTTACAAAAGCACTTCCACGAAAGTACTTTTATAAAAATACTTTTAAAGCACTTATACGAAAGTACTTTTATGAACACTTCTACGGAAGTACCTTCATAAAAGTTCTTTTATGAAAAATCTTTTACAAAAGTGCTTTTTCAAAGGGTATATTTTTATAATTTTCATATTTTCTTCATTTTAATATATTTTCGTAATTTTTTATGTGTTATGGCTTTTTATATAATTTTTGATATTTCATTCGGTTTGGATTGGGATCCAATCTAGTCCATTTACATTTTAATGGATTAGATTGGATTCGATTTGTATTGGATTTGGACTAGATTGAGTCTAGTCCATTTGTAAGTGGACTCACATTGGATTGGATCGGTTTGGACCAAATCCAATCCAATTGACACCTCTACACATATAAAGAGTATTCTTTTAATTTGGTCTAACTTCTAACTCCTAACAATTTCTTTTAATGTTTTCTTTTAAACTAAATGGGTGTAGGCTAGGTTAGAATTCTGGTTTATTTAATCCAAATCGGTTTAGGTTTGGGTAACCCCCACCCATTGGGTCATAATACCCTTACACATGAAGATGCAACTTTGGTGAGCCCAGCTAGGTCCCACAAATTTAGATGGGCTGGGCTTGGATTTTTAGTCCTTGGATTCTGTGTGGGCCTAAATATTTGGATTTTCTTAATTTTTGGGGCCAAGCCTAAGCCCTTGGGCAACATGAGCCTAGCCCAACCTTATCCCAACTCAAGCCTAGTTGAACTATATACATTTGTACACACAGTTTCGAGCCCAACCCAAGTGCATCAAGTTTTAGTGTAGGCTTGACTCAAGTTGGATAGATTTGGCTTGACATTGGGCTTGGGCCTTAAACCCAATTCTAAGTGTTGGGCCTGGGTTGAGCTTAATTACTGCTATTTTAATTATTGTAAAATTATTTTACCTTACGAAATAAATAAATGTGAAACTATTTTAATTATTAATTATATCTATACTTAATAATTGAAGTAATTATCAATAATAAAATTATAATTATTGTAAAATAATTTTGCAGTAATTAAAATAAAAATTATTATAATTTTCAATAATTCATTAAATAAGGTAATTTACTATTAAATTATCTTTTAAAAAGTTTGTTATTTAATTACTTATAATTACTCATCAATTTTTAAGAGAAAATTTTAACATTAATTAATTATGTAATTAATTACTAACTCTATTTAATTAAATATAATTAATTAAGTATTTAATGGATAATATTAATTATTTTAGAGTAACTAAATCCACATAGTTAATTAAATTTTTACTTTACTTTTCTGATTTGTGTTATTGTATTATCTATTTTTTCTCTTAGGGTAATAGACTTAAACCTCCCTTGATTTTTCATGTAAATAGTACAAAAAACCATTGGCTTAATTTAACAAACTTCATGCTCTTTAAAACCCTCAAAACAATGGAATCGAAACTAAAGATTCATGAAGTATGTCCTAGTATTTAGTCACACAGAAACTAAAACAAAAATCCATGAAACCAAATAAAGCAACACAACTGAACCCATCAAATACTAATCGAATAAGTAATACGACACATTTAATAAATAATAATCAAGAGGAAAAAATCCGTAACATATATGGAACAAACACATATGAAATTC